GCCATTTTGTCCTCCATGCTTTATCCTTTATCTTTTTTTATACAATGAAGACCTACCGATCCCGCGTGAGTTCATTGGGTGCCAGTTGACGGATGATGTTGTGTTCGGTGTTCTTGTCGCATTGCTGTTTTGCTCCCCGTAACCTTCAGAATTGTTTATGACAGACAGATCGGCATAGCCGTTCCACTTCTCGCCCGCCTAAACTAAACGTCCCCTAACTGCGTTGAGATTCCCTTTCGTCCTAAATACGCTACCGGTTACCTCACTGCTCAGTGATTTGCCCGGTTTCCTAAGACCGCCACATTAGAATATCTCGGCTTAACACTTTCCAACAATTGTTCTTGGTCTCATCACATCACTGATTTGTGTATTAAAATTCTTAAACTATCTTCTTACACCATCAGACATCGGAGCTTGCTTATTCCGTTACAGTTTGTCATCGAGCATGCTTTACTGCACTCGTTTTTCTGTTACTACTCAATTTTTCCCCGAACTAAAGGCGAAGAATTTCACCCCGGTTCTTAGGTTCCTTAAAATTTCACTGTAGAATCATTGGTGTATCGAGTGTCTACTTTATCATGCCTGCGATCCGTTTTTCGACTGTTGTCTAACCGTGCTGTCTCGTAGTACCCGATCCTCATTTTAGTGATTCAAACTGCTTCCTTCTTGCACAACGCGATTATCTCTCTGATGCTCGTTCATCTATTCTGGCTCAACCAAAAGATCGCTTTTTGCAATTCGCTGTGGTGCTCCAATTCTCGAATCCGTTTCTTTTTCTACTTTTTGCGAGGCGGGTTCACTATGTGTTCATCCATGTTGGTTGCAGAACGCTCCGTTTTTTTTGACTTTACTCGAACCCAGTTTCACCTCACTTCAGTGCAGTTCGCACCTAGTCCGGAACCGCATTGTTTTCCTCTCTGACCACGTGCTCACTCACTTCGCCGAATCAGTGCAATCAAAAGTTTAAAGTACTTTCTGCTCATATTTGGAGCTCAGTCGTCAGTTTCATACGTTATCCGGGGAAGTGCTAATCCACCGGTGAAGGTGACCGTACTTGTTCGCTTTCGTTTTTGGTTTGCAGAATTTCGGCTAAATTAGTTTTTCTTTTCCGCGGGTACGATTGGTGCTTTGTGGTATTTTTCAACCACTCGCTTCAATGGGTTGGTGGGCATTTTTACCTGGTAGCTCCAAGTGGAAAAGGAGAGAGGTATTTGATGGAACAAACCAAGGTCATCTTTATCAATGCTATGGATCTTTCATTTGTCTTGTATCTTATTCATAGAATAGATGTATTGATATCCAATTTTGTCTACACAAATACACCTGCTATGTGTTGCCCAGGTTATTCGTGAGGTGTTTGCAGCTGGTGCGGATCAGTTCAACCAAGTGGTCGACGATTTGACCCCACGTCCTCCACCGACGAATCTGGTCGCAATGCAAACAGATGCGATCACCCGTGCCGGGGATTACACGTCAGAAGGGAGTCGAGCCACAGCATTTGACCCGGAACATTATGAACTGATTCGTCTACCGACCAGATTACGTCAACCGGCTCGGGAAATTGCACGCATGTTTCCCCAATTCCCTCTTGGTACGATTGTGGCCGATCTGTTGCGTACTGGTGTGCCAGAAGTTACTGTGGAAAATCTGATCTCAAGACCGCCTCCGGTACGCTCTTTGTCTCCATCCCCATCACTAGCGCAATCAACAACAGTAGTACGATCACGCTTATCTAATACCGGCACTAACGTGCGTTCGTTGTTCGGAGGTGCTAACGTGGATCAGGTAAGTTGTTTTTGATCTATTTAGCCGTTCTTAAAACATTCTGATTGCGCTGAGTTCGTATGTGAAGTAGTTTTGGTATCACTCGGTTCTATACCATGCCTGACCTAGTGGGACCTTATGTGGTTCGCCAATCCAAGTCCTGGGGCTTAGGTTCCTGGTTACCATCACTTAACAGCAGGTCTTCGCGACTGTGGGGTCTGCTCCGTCTGTTGTTCATCACTCACTGGTATGTAATTAAAAATAAACTGAAATCCCTAGAGCTCCCTGATCGTTTCAGCAAATGCATGTACGAGTCCACCAAAACATACCGTTCGAGATTTCGTGCACTGACTAGAAAATGCAACAGTTATCCGTTTGTTATAGTTGATCGTAGGTAACATCTGGTAGGACCTGTTAGTCTGTGGTATTCCTTGCTGCCTATTCCGTATTTCAGGTTTTGTAGTGCACTTTGATCAAATTCTTACCTGTGGCTCCAAAATGTCAAGTCGTTTATCAGTGGTCACTCGGTATACCGCTCGATTGACAGGCTACACCAGGGTGAGGGCAGCCGATGCCTAAAAGCTTCTACCAGACGGCTTACCGCATACAAAGAGAGTGAAGATCAACAGAGCTCGATTCTATGGTGGTTTAATCCTGGGTCAGTTGTTCTTCGCATATTTCTGTGGATAGCGTTGTGATATGATGAACGTGCTCCGTCGCTGAATGTAATCGTTACTCCCGTTTTTTTGAGTTTTGCTCATCCCACACTGTTCTCCTGAACGTGGCAAATAGGTCATTTGACTGGCTACTGGTTCGTGCAAAACAACGTCAGAGTGGATCCTCCAACACGGCCTGCTCCGGACCAGCCCACAAAGTAGCACAACAGTCTATAACGCAAGCAACTAAGAACTTTCATTCTCCATCAGATCTGAATCCGAAGCTTTGATCTAAACAGCGTACGTGTCTTTCTACTTATCTGATCCCTCTCCCCCCCCCC